CAGTATTTACAACATATGCGAACCTTAATTCCTTTAAGCAACCTTATAGGAATCGCACGAAACGTGCTGAACATACTGTATCACGTAGAGAATGTTATCAATGTGCGGAAATGTGGTGCACGGTTAAATGAGAAGTGAAAATTTATTTTGATCCGACTCGCATTTGGCTATATGTCACTTTATCAAAACTGTTTGTCTCCGACCTGATTGTCCAACTTTGTGTGTTTGCACGGTCAAACTGCTAGCAGTAAAAAAAAGCATAAGTCGACAATCACATCCGCCCCAGTGAACTACTATAAATCACTACTCAGTAAGAACTGGCAAGTTAAGCGTCAAAAATGCTCCTGGGAGCGGCGATTGCCCACTTCCAAAATATCTGCTTTATGTTGTAATAATTTCTAAGGAGGAATGAACTAGAAACCAACCGAGGACGAATAAAAACAGAATTGTGTGTGGTGAATGAGGCATTTGGAAACTGGCAGAGAGTGGATAGTAATAAATCACGTAATATTGCGACATTTCACCAACTATATCGATTCAAGCGGCTGAATATACCCGTGGTCGTCATGAGAACGAAGAAGGTAGCGAAAAATGCTTGCTTTTTGTGGTTGTTCCTCTTGGCTTATACATCACAAACTTATATGGTAGCACAAATATTGTGGAACTGGTTGAGATCGGAGCTACATACACTTTAGAGAAATGGAAGTTAAAGGAAGGCAGCGGGTGGATGATGGGAGGTCATTGTGTCACGGAATCAATGTCAGGCAGACTTTTGGGATCGGATCCAAGCACTAATTTCATACCAAAGCAGCGCTTACGTCTACCATTTTCAAACTTAAATCACTATATATTTTTCTTCTTCGATCAGGCTTATCACTTAGTGCTGCAGGATATTCCACTCGGTCGAGAAATTGGCAAAACCTTTATTGAATGATTTCGTCCGGTCAGTCTGGTCAACTATTGCGGAGAAGTTCAAAAGTGCTACCTAAATGACGCACGTGTGCTTGATGTATGCCCGGGTTTGCCTAACAAAGTGATTAGGTAAACCAATTGGAGGAGCATCCGCTTCACGCTCACTGTATTTCTTGTTATCCTCGCTTAGTTCAGCAAACACGCCAGTGCACTATATATCTGCTAGAAATGCGCCTAAATCCTACGTCGTTTGTACGTTGCAGGTGAATGATTGGATTTCGAGAGAAAAAAATCTGTACGTTGACAAAAACATCATAATCTGGTTGCTTTTACCAATATAGAGCGGCATCATTATTGAAATTATATATGTCAAAGTCTCTCAGGACTTCCCTGTAACCTGTGAGAACTATAAACTGAGAAAACTGTAAAATTAATATGATAAGCGTGTTCTCAAATCGTCATAGTCAGCCAAAAAATGAAACAACAGTAAGAATTTCAGGGAATAATGGAAGTACAATGACCACAACAGTTGCATTTAAATAAGTGAGGCTGGTCTACTTCCCGTGATAATTTGTAAAGCAGCCAACTTCATACACACCAAGAAAGAAAAGAAGAAATAGAAAGCGTTCAACTGCAGCACTTTTTCGGTGCCTAGCTGCCATGCCACACGAAGGAATCTTGAGGGCTGGGATACTGCCAGGCTGCCCAAATCTAGACAGGGGAAGTCGAGAGGCGAAAGTCGGATTCGAACCACGAACCTTCTGGTCAGTAAATTCGCGCTCTAACCACTTGGGCCATCTCGCCCAAGTCTGCAGTGTGTACTTGCAGACGTGTTTAACACGGCAAACCATCGAATCCAGAGTACTATTAGAATTGGTCTCAATAAAAGCAAACTGGCAAGTGAGCCAAATATGTGGCAGTAGTCATCTTGATGCAGGTTGGATTTGTTCACAAAACGTCAAAATTTGAATGTTTAACTTGATAAATACCACGGGCGTTGTAACCACGATCAAACAGTGAACAGAACGATCCAATGCATTTGGTAATCTGACTTGGGAAGCAAAGTAGTGAATCTAAATATCTGTGTATGCGCCACAGATAACAAAAAATGAAGGGGTATGAGCAGTGTGGGAGGATGCATGCACGGTCCTACTCATAACGATTCCACCGAGAACAGAAAGATCTTCCGGATGCACAACATGCTTTATCAGAGACAATGAAAATCTTCACATTTTAGCATTAATCATATAGAGTGGACAACAGATACCAAGCCAGATGTTGAGTTAGGCCGTTAGTTGATCACAGGATATAATAGGCTCAGGTTCGGTAGTCAACAGATGCAATCACGTCGTTTGGATCAAATGAATACCCATACAAAAAATATCGTACGTATCTCTCATGACTGCTGCCTCAGTAATTTAGCTTCTTATTGCAAACACAAGTGTTTAAATGCAATGTCGAAATGTAACGGACTTAGCGACTGTTATCATATAATATTTCCAAATCGCTAATAAAAATACAGCGACAGTAAAAACTTAAGTGTGTAGATAAAGGGGAGACAAGACGTAGGCGACAAAAGAGAAGTTTCCTGCAACAATAAATAACAAGGCTTTCAGAACGGACTCTAATTTCGAGAACTAGGTAGAAAAACATAAACGTAGAGGATTGACAAGTAACCCGTTTACCCTCAGTGTCACTGGAATAAAAGAACGCAAGACTTTCACAGATTTGTAACATTATTATCTCACACACCTTTACAACAGCAGGGAATGAAGCTGTTCCAAATATATTGCCCCACCCCGGCTTCACCGCATAAGTCTACATATTTGTGTGAAACCAACCTTATGATGCCCTGATGCCCCACCTGCCTAGTAGTCACAATCCGAAATCACCGAGGGCGCTTCAAGCTCCTCGACTCTCGCACTACAATTGGAGTAAAATAGTGTCTTGATTTAGGGCTGCTTGGAACGTATAAGCAGGGCACTCGGTTGTGTGCTCTCAGATATTTCAACTCTTCCAATTGGGCCGCTGCTGAATTATCCCTATAAAGTGATTATGCTTCACGATTTACGTCTAACTTCAATGTGATTTAGATAGAACCAGAGGAGCAGTGCTTTAGATATCGGGGTGGTTGACGTGCATGACGCGTTTCAGTGGACATCTCATCGCAAATCGTCTGCGTAAGCAATAGTTTCTTCCATGTTTACCATGCTGGTGAATGAGTCTGTTGAGCAGGTTTATTCCAACTCGACATAATGTCGTAAAATCCTAAGAACTTGATCAAATTCAGGCGTACCTTCAGACAAGTTTACTACAATCTCACATCTAGTGTACATTCTGACAGATTATTATTCTTTTATTAACTGTCCTAAAAATTTGCAGGTCACGGGCTTAGTAAAACGTATAGGTAAGTGCTTGGAAATCCTTCAACTCGATAATGTTACTGATTTACACCATGATGTAGTAAGCCACTCCATACCACATAAATATACCATGAATAAAATTTTTAAATACTCCTGAGTACAGAGGTATATCTTCAGAACTATTCCTGGAAATACATTCTGCAATTAAAATAATGGGTTTTCCTGTTGTATTATACTAAAATTCCCCGCCGGTCGTAAGTGACTTAAAAACTCTCACAGATCCATCCTGGTGGAAAATTCTAAGATTTTCTTAAAGCGTTGGTTTTCGTGAAAGAAAATTTTGTGCCTAAAAAACCTGTTTATGCTGTATTGCCAAATACACTTAAAAAAGTTGTTAGTGAATATAACTTTAGTTTGGCGTTCGATAATACTGCCAGAACGACTGGATTGACAAGCATCTTCATTTTCGCGATTTCTCGAGTCAAAGAACTTATGGATTCACGGATTGCACACAGATGAAGTAAACGTAACATAAACCGCTCGATTTTATCGCATAATTTTAGTTCATCTCCCTAAGAAGCTTAAAAATACTTTTCAAGCAGTTTGTAAAAGTAGAATGGCATGAAGCGGTAGAGCAAGCCACGTTTAGGTTTTTGCTGAATGTGAAATATTTAGGGTCCATTCTATTGCACCAGACCATCGAATAAGACGGGGAAGCTTCATGTAAATACCCCCTGAAAAATCAACACATGCGACAGGGATTTTTGGCCTGAAGTTAAAAGTGCGTCAACAACCAACGTCCAGCATTTTTACGTGTGTACCCAACAATGTTGCACAATACGATACAAGCAACATACAACGACATTACGGACCTAAACTACTGCCAATACATCCGTTTCTCTTTGCCAAACTATTCCGTCCCCCGAATATAGGTGTCATGATGTCCTCCAAGAAAACAAACCATGAAACCCCATATTAGGTAAGGTACGGTCACTTTATGAAAGCGCTTGTGCATCCCTAGACAATGTAAAATGATTGGAAATTAATGTTTTCCGCAAAGTTCCAACAAGTAAAGGGTAGTTGAACTGAAAACTTGGAGAGTTTACGTTAAAGAACGGAGAATATTAGGGAAAAATAGGAATATTGGGAATTTCTTGGTAACATTGGAGTTAACTTGGGTCATAAAAATGCATTTTGAAAAATCTAGTAGGAACCGGTTTTTCTTGTTGCAATGCTGCTACGCTCTTTACAGGAAGAACTGGCGCATATTGGGACACATAACACAACAAATGTATACTCAGTGGATTATTTAAACTCCCGGCAAACTGAACGTTCTTAGCCTAGACTAGTGTCACTGCTCCCAACATTACATTTTTCTAATGACTCCAATCTTTTGAAAAGGTCAGGAAGAGTGGATTTTTCTGCTATGAATTACATACAGAGTCAACTGTAGTGTCAGCCTCTTTGCGAGGTACAACTATCACTACAGGCCCTATCAGCAAACGGCGATGTCAGCGCACATTATCTATCTCCTATTATAAACTCTACCATCATGTCACACGATATTGTGGAGTGAGACAATAATGCTGCCTTAGAGGTGACATTCCGTAGTCGACACTCTGGCGTCACGCTAAAATGCCTTTCTACTCAGATCGAACAGCTTTGACCGGTGACTATTTAAGGCCTCCTGTTAAGTGCTTTTTAAGACTCATTTTGTTATTTTAGTTGACTATTTTTCTCCGTGTGCACAGACCGAACAGGATGAAAGATTCAGCTGCCGCAGGGTTCTTCATGTGAAAATCAATGCAGGACATCCGCCGGCTTTCATATTCACATCTCCGAGTCTTTACCAGCAACTCTCCTCTTCTCCTTGGCTAGCGGATACAGAGAAAGAAATAGTATACTAGGACGGAGTGAATATTAGTGACGAAGAAGTAGGTATCCGGGATACCAACGAATCTTTGTAGGTTCTGTACCTCTCCGCGTTTTGTCCCTCCAATATCTTTACAACTGAAGGAAGACATTGTAAATGTCACACTTCGTGGGTTAGTGAATTTTCCATGGGTAAAACGTAACGGTTTTGGTGATGGTCAGCATATGTCGAGAAATCCAGTAAAGTAATCAGCCTAGAGCCACCCCAAGCTCCTTTATTGCGCCACAAGACAATTATTGTCCGAACATTAAATCATCGGCATAGAGTTGTTAGTCGGTTTTTACGGTAGGTTCCCCATAAAAATTCCTACTATGGTCTAGGGCAGCCTACATTATTTTTCATTCACAAATATGAACTACAAAGAAGATTTCACGCACGAAACGGTTCACCCATTCTGATCACCAGATGCTTCTGATGGATTTTCAACATATGTCCCGACATCTGATGTTCAAACAAGACCGTTTAGGTAGTTATTGAAATCACTTTCGGAGTCTCTATTGTTTACGTGTACAGACAAAAATGTCTCCGTATGTTTTTTGATGGTTGCATAAGGAGTGTTTCTGTCGATGTTTACTTTCCATTATCCGATTTTCTAAACAACAACCGATTCAGCCACGGTTCAACTGGTAGCGTGTAGCACTAGATGATTTATCAATCATACTGTTTTTCAGTCATAAATTTTCCGTGCAAAACTTTTCAAACGCGTTTAAATTGTTTTCATTCGTGGAGATCTAGGAATCCATCGTGAATTTCATTGAGATTCACGGCGAACGTCACGCAGTCTGCAGATGGTAGACGAACGCCACAAGTAAATTTAACCCGCAATATCCCACTGAAAAAACGCTTGACAGAGGAAACGAAAGTTAATCAGTCGTAACACGTTTATTTTGCCTACAAGCAGCACGTCGGCTTGACGATTTCTCTACACTGCTTAACGAGCTAGTTATCCTTTTTGCTGAATTCCTATTAATGGGACATTTAAGTTGCAGCATATATCTTAACCTAGGTAGGCCTTTGTTTCCCTCGTATAAAACGATACAGGCAAACAAAATAATATCACACTACGTTAGTCACAAGGCAGGCATGATGGGGAACGGACTATATAGTAGGCTTACTGCATTTCATGTTTTTTTCATCACAAGTTGTTCGGCTATATACTGTAATCATATTGAATGCGTAACATAAAAGCCATCGGTTACAGGATGAAATTCGTGCAACGAGGTTGGTCATGTGCGAAAAAAATATAATACGTACATGGTGTGGTAAGGGCTATTGAACGTTTAGTTAATGTGTTTGACTTGAGATGCGTAATGAAAAGATAGAAAATGTTTAGTTTCTCGCACAGGCAACGAAGGCGAATTTACGCTGCTGACTTACGTTTCACGCAGTTCATACTTTTGCGCTTCCGTCTAAATCACGGTGAAGTGACACTAAACATAATGTTCTTCTGAGCCCAGTTATTCCGTTTGTAGCGTTTATTCACGTCGACATGTGCCGAGGCTACAAAGGTTTCAACACTAGTTGCTCAAGCTGACTGCTAAAAGAGAGATTACTTTTGCTTTTCCAATGTCGTGGCCGAAGTTCATAAAATACATTAGTAAAATTGTTCCACTAGTTCTCAATAACTTTAGGCTATTTGAAAATAAGGCCTGTCAACTTTTACACGAAAACAGATGAAAACTGACAGATACGTTGTACGAGGAAAATAAACTAGTGGATTTATTACCCTGGCGTAGCTTTTTATGATAACTTGCAAAAATCATCAACTTCATAGTAAGTAAACTTTCATCAATACGGAGATGCTCACCTCTAATTATACCAACAAAAATGAAACAGCGATATAATGCACCCGGAATTCAGCAGGGAATGTCTTCACTTACCTGGTCAAATCCTTTCTTAAAAATCCTTCCTTTTTCACTACCAACAAGTCGCAGTATACTCAGAACGAAAAAATGACTTGCATTGTGAGTAAGCCTTCCTTTTGAGAAGTCCTCGCCTGGATAGCCACTCTTTATGTAACCGGACGTGGCAAATGGATGGGTGGCACTCCATCCTGCTAGATGTGATTTAGTTATACTGCTGATCAACCACCCGCGGTCAAACTGTTAAGACTTCAGTTATTAGGCGGGAGGCCGCGTATTCCAAACGCTTCCGAGTTTCATGAGACATGCAATATTGATGAATCCCAAAGTGCTTAGCACTCCTCGGCCTTTCAGTATCAATTGGATTCATCTGAAGGAAAATAACCTAATTGAAAATAAGTAGCTATGCAGTGTTTCTTTTCATCTCATTAGATTCTCGTGGTTAGAAGTCTGCGCATAGTAGAAAGCCATAGAGGGTCTTCGCATAGCCGAGCATAATCATCGTCACAGCAGTCCTATCAAAACTGGTCCTCTGAATATGACCGAGCATTTCCATCTTTAACATTTACTTACGGGCAATGTTTCTCGGGTAAATGTTTTTCTTGGCTATCAGGTGCAATGCGTTTCACACCCGTCACATGGTGGGTCTAAATAACCGTCAAAATGTGCATTGCTTTTTTTCATTTTTTCTCTTAGTACCAGACTTCTGAGTCGCAGTTCCTCATTTGTCAAGTTAAAAACCCCATCTCTGCTAGCCGCATTAGTTTTAACCACAGAGAAAATTGCATTTTCAATTTAAAATATATTACGTATTTAAACCTACGTACTTGAGACTAAGTGCAACTCCCACTTCACGTTCCCATGGATTTGTGAATAAATCTAACAACTTGACTGGGTAGCTTTCGGTATTTTTAGTTAGAACAATGAAATGTTCTGTGGTTCTTTCCCTCCAGCTGATGTTGTGATCTCAACATATCCGACCTGAGTCAGAGCTTTTCGCAAAGCACTTGTCCTTTTCGCTAATGATGAACTGAAAATCGCGCCAGGTCAGTTGGCGTTCTTTGTATACTAAATACCCCGCTAAATTGTGTCAACCACCGCAAACCCTGGTCTGTTGAAAGCAACATTTCCTGTGTGCCCAGGATGAGCAAAACGACTGGCACCTGGCCAAGTTCAATGAAATTCTCCGCAGACTCACATTTCAATGGAAAATTTACACAAGCCAACTTCCGACCCTGATAACTGGCAACCATCCCTTTGGAGAATGGAAATATGCGCCAGTATTTTATAATTTAGATATTGTGCAGTTTGAATTACTATCTAATTGCACTGCGAGTACGCTGAAAATTGTAAAACAAAATGACAATCTGCTGTATTTCGGCCCCACGGGTCCAGTGTATCAAGGTGATCAAGCAATGCTCTTGCTCATCAGAAATAAATGGATGTTAAAACTATCTAGTAAAGACCTCATTATGCCTGGTTTTCAACACTGTTTGGTGGATGTGCATAGCCTGGATAATGTCGTAAAAAAGTTGTTTGAAACTACTTATGGTCACATGTATTGAAGAGGTACTCGTGATCATCACTACTTTATCTCATCATTCACCTACGCATATATAAGTGTTCGGTTCTAACCCCTTAATACTAAATTAGACACTTGTGGGCGTGCATGTGAAAGGCTTGACAGATGACTCTCGATTGTAATATCAAAATCAAAGAAGCAACGCTTGTAAAACGTCTGGAAATGTATGAGTTCTTTTCAGCAATTAATAAATGGAAGGTGATACAAACTTGTTTTGGCACAAATTTCGAGGCAAAATATCCGAATAGGCAAATCTTGGGAAAACGTTTGGCATAAACATAGTGTAAAAGTGGCCGAAAACTCTTGATTCATAGATGCTTAAAGATTTGAGTGGAACCACAATAACAACAACTTAGTAGTTAACACTTGACCCCGAACTCATCTCCTTTTATTTGATTTACAAGGTGCACGTATATGCATCAACCGTCACCTTAAGTATTTGTAATATTTTGGATTTTGGAAACACAAACAGGTTGGATGCGCCTGTGTGTTCATTCGGAATGTACCACGCGATTAGCAAATCCATTTGCATTGGTTCATTCGATAGTTTAAGCAAAAGGCTGGTATAAAGTACAAACTAACCGTGCTGGAGTTGAAGACACTGCCTGACATGGAAGAATCAAATGCTCTTCAGGCCGAACTAAGACGTGTAGCGGCGGTGCCTTCATGAAATATGGCGGAAGGTTCACTAGACAAACAATTTAAAAGAAATACGGTACACGTTTTAACCCCAATTTTAGCAATGAAAGATAGTGCACAGTAAAGTTTTAGAGTAAATTATACACAAAATTTTCCCAAAGCTCGTAAGTTTCAGACCACAAAGCAAGTAGACTTAAACTCACGCACCGCGTTCTGGTACTAGTTGGCCCCATAATAACGACATTGTGTCCACAGCCTTACAATAGTAAGGCTGAGGCACGGCACTGTGTGAAGCATCGTGAAACGATTTATAAACACGAATCTTCCTCATTTTAAAATCGCCCACCTGCTGTAGTTTTTTCAAATATGTGGGCCTTTCACCTATCCTAAAAGAAAACCATTCGATGCAGTGTGAAGACCAGGAAGAAGAATGAATGAAGTGAGTTGTCATATTTCATGAGACCGTGGTGATACCCCTGTAGTGGTCCACTTCGAGGTAGTGACCTAATGACGATACAATCGACGGTTCAGTGGCCCCTTAATTTTGGATTTATGCATTCTTTAGAAACGATCATAACAACAAATGTTTTTTCGACAACATGATCTCATGCGCCCTATGCTAACCACCGTTACAGTTAAGTTTGAAGTGTTGCACGAAAATTTTATCCTGTGTTTAGATCGACGTATTTACGAGTGAGTGCACCGGGATGTATTTCCCAACGTTTGAGCTAAAGTAGGCTTTTAAATGGATGATCTATGAGTTAAAGCAAGTTCAGAAGGACAAAACAGAATGAAGACACCTTTTCATTCCTTTAGCTCGTTTGGCACTATCACAATTTCACTTGTGAGCAGAAATATTTGCATTCATGTCGGGAAACGCCT